CATCTGTCCATCTATACATTTGGAAACTTCTACTACCCCATCGACGACAAATAGGAGAGAATAAAGAAAACTATAAAACTCAAGTGTCGAAGTCGTGTGATTATAATTGATGAGATGATTATGAACAGTAAATAAATTTTGTTCGAAACATTGTCATCCAGTAAATAACACTGTTTCACTGACTGTGTGATATATCTAATAAACAAACTAATATGGAATTACTTACTATCACAGTGCTCAAGTTTTACCACTCTGAATGCAAAATATTAGGAAAATTTATTTAACCAGAATGTCACATGCTAATCATGGTTAATTGGCGAGTTTACTAACTTCAGATTAATCTTTAATTTAATTCTGAATGTGTATGAAATGCTTCAAAGATCTAAATTAGGCAGTCAATCGGCTACCAGCTTTTTCTTATTTATACATTTGAATAGCAAAGTAGTGCTTTCTAAGGTTTTTAGCTTCGTTCATAAAAATGCCAGTATATTCTATCTCTCCAAGATTCACTATTCTTTATATTATCCCTTCCTAACATTCTTAGTGGAGCATAGGGCTTTAGCAGTACACCTCCGTTCTATCCGCTTCTCTTCCATTACTTTTAACTGGATCTACGAATACCTAAAAACTTTATTTCCACTTCATATAATCGTCTTCATGTCACCCTTCGACTGGCTGACTGCTTTCAACACAGAACTTTGCGCCGATGTGCAACAGTTCAAGTAGCCACACTCCCTCCTTGTAGCACACAAAGCAAGAAAAGAAAGTAGAAGAAATACAAAACAGAGACTGTAGACAAGGATATGAGACAAAAGGAATAGTAACAACGCAGAACAACATAGTTTCATTGGGTATTATAAGTCACAAGGAGTGGATGCATCTGCGCCAGCCATTTAGAACGATTTTGAGCCATATCACCGATTGTCTCTAACCTCCATTAGTTTTTACTATCTCGGGGACCCTAACTGGTCAGGCAATCTACACCTCCCTACGTGACTGGCTGGCTTAAACTAACTGTTGTGGATTTGATTGGCTAATGAAGTCATGTTTTGGTTTGACCACCACTAGCAGCTCTTTCCCAAACTGATCCATTCTATCAGTCAGCTAACATCGCCAGTCAAGGAAGTCAATGGCTAGACATACGTAACACGTGTCCTAACCATCTCAATCGATGTAACCTCACAACCTCGTCGATTGGTTTCCCCTCCCTCCTTACCTAACACTCGACCGATGCCTTACCTCAATATTGCTCACCCTATTATACCATTTCACACGGGAAATAAAGCGCAGGCAACTATGATCGAAGACAGCCAGCTGGTTTTTTCATGTCTTCCACTCTTAATGGCCAGCTCTCACAGACATAAAGAAGGATGGAGCAAACTAGTGAGCAGTACACACGCCCTTTGGTCGACAGCCGGATATCACGTGTAAGCCAGAGACAGCGTAAACTGATATATGCGAAACGAGCCTTCTGTATCTGCGCTGAGATTTCGTCAGTGATCAACCCCCTGGCGTTGGCTGATACAACTTCCCAAATAAATGAAGTGGTCAACGCGCCCTACCACTTCACTCCGTATTTCTAAGCTAGGAGTCAATGTAGTCCAGTCCTCTAGGATGCAACATCTTACATTTGGCGGGAGAGAATTGCATACCAAACATTCGAAGATTGCAGCTCAGGGCATTCGGAAGACTCTGCTGTAATATGTCAGCGTCTTTACCTAGAAGGACTATATCATCTGTATATTCTAAGTCAACGAGATTATTCCCTGGCGGCAGCAAGTCAATCCCTGAGTCACTTTGAAGCCAGTTAGCGTTAAGTCCATTAGTACATCTACGATGAAACTGAATAGAAACGGAGATAGTGGGCATCGCTGACGGACACCACTAGTCGTCACCACTTCAGATGACAACTTGCCGTAAACACTCACCTGGCTGCATAATTTCGAGTAGAGTGCCTTGATCAGTGTAATGTATTTTCTGCTAGGGTTCCCGGCTGTTTATCCTTTTAGGCCCGTCAACTGATCTTTATTGAGTGCCGAGTGTAGGGGGCAAGTGTTATTGAAAGTCTGGTGTCTGTTGGTAATACTTTTTGGCCGGCTTTGATGTCAATATCTATGGTGATACATCTAATAAACAAACTAATATGGAATTACTTACTACCACAGTGCCCAAGTTTTACACATATATATTAATATGCAGGATGCTGATGAGACGGATTGTTGGATTGAAGTGATGCGAAAGTGATACACTACAGCACTCGATTCTTTCTAATAACTGTGTACTTTAACACAATAACACAGGTAGAATAAAGCTTACTAATAATCTTGATGCAGAAATATTGACAGATAATTAGAGATGAAACTATGGCTTACGGGGATGGGCAATGAATTTCCAACCTATGGTTCCCCTATTTGAACCATGCTCCACCCACAAAGGTTAGGGTAACCAGGTAGTAGCCCTAAAATAACACCTGTGGTTCATTGCTAACTGATTGTACACGTAATTAATTGACAGGTATTTCCATCAATAACTACTCAATACGCATACATAAGACAAGGAGACAAAAAAAGCAACCAGCTTTTTCTCTGCTCAAGGACTGATTAGTGAACAGTCACCATGAAATGTACAGAACCTTTGGTAATTATGTTTTGGTTCACCTTCAGGTGAACTCACCAGCTATTTGGGGAGGAAACTAATTTAGGCAACCCATATCAGCAGGTCAAAGAAGCGACACGACAGGTCGTCTTTTGGTAGAAAGACCCGCCCCCATGATATCCCAGCCACTACGTATGCATTTGCATGATTCGCAAAGTGACCACAACAGTCATTACACTTCAGTTACAAATGTATTCCAGTATGATGTTACTTTTGGATCATGAATAGCATTAAACCCTTGACATTTTTATTCGAAAAAATACCTGATACGCAGTACCGAATATTTTTGTGAGAAGCCTGAAAAATGTTGATATTGGGCGGCCTAGTTTCTGATTTTAAAGAACGACTTAACTTATTTAATTGGTTCCCAGCCAACATCATCACAGTTAGACACAACAGACAGACAGATAATCTTCAACAATAACAGGGAACAAACGGCCTAGGAGAGTAAGGTGCTCGATTCCCGAACCTAATATTTATTGGGAAGTTTTAAAATTATTACGTTAAACCACACGGCTTTGCCAGCTATTTCCACCAATCTCTGACACTATTCAATGTACTTTAAGTCAGTAAATAACTTGGCATGTAAGGAAAATGGATGGTTATATTGACTGATTTCCCTAAAATAACCATTTTCACCAAGATGTTACTTAACCGTGATGATAAGGGGGTTCAAAAAGCCCACTCACTAAAGATAGTACGAACCCAACTAGTAACGTTAATTGAAGTACTTTAGAAGTACAACAGGCAGTAACTGTTCATCTCTAAACATCCACTGAAAAATATACGCAAACCCTCAGTAAAGCCGCATACTTCTAAATCAGAAACCTGATCTTTCCTCAGATCTTCATGCATAGTAAATGCATGTTAGCTGGATATTAGAGACAACTCTTACAGAAAATAAACACGTGCTTCGATTTACAAGTAGCACACAAAAACTGCCTGGCAGCATGTGTCGAAAGACATATAATCCTCTAGACAACTATGCATGTTAATAACGACTTACACGGTTATAAAAAAAAGTCACTTCTCCTCTCTGAAGGAAGCAATACGAACTAATGAATTTCGAATATGAAGATGTATTACGTGGTCAGTCGACGAGAGGCTAAACAGGAGCCTTTTGATCAAATGAATAGTGTAATCACTTACAGGGAACTGCATCCATGATATCCTTGGTTGTAGAGCATTAACTTGTACTAAGAATACGAAAGATTATTATTAGCCAAACGGGCTAACCTCTGGATTCTGGAAATTAATTCCAAGAAAAGTGCGGTAATGCACCTAGGTCAGAAGTCTTACAAGCCGTACTCCCTAGGGGACACAGAACTGCCAGATGTTAGAGGACAAAAGGACTTAGGAATTATTGTTAGCCATGACTTAAAAACAACGGCAAACTGTAATACAGTCGCAGCTAAGGCTTTTCGAATGCTATGGGCACTTCGAAGAGCTTTCAAACGATTAGACGAGGGTATGTTCCAAGTACTCTATGCAACATATGTCAGACCTTATCTAGAGTACTGCATACAAGCGGCGAGTGCATGCTTCAAAAAGGAGGCACATATCCCGGAAAGAGTACAGAGAGTAGGAACCAAATTAGTTAATGGTATCTCACACCTTCCTTATGATATGAGGATGGAGCATTTAAATCTCTTCCCATTATCATATCGAAGGAGGAGAGGCAACTTAATTTTAACTTACCGTATATTCAAAGGTAATTTAGGGAAGGACCTTTCAAACCTTTTCTCTCCCTTGATGATACATTTACGAGGTCACCACAAGAAGGTGCTCAAACCGAGGACGAATAAAATACGTTTGGAATTTAGATTCTCCCACAGAGTGGTCAACGACTGGAACTCCTTACCTAATACACTAGTAACAGCTCCATCAGTGAACACTTTCAAAGGAAAACTGGACCTCTGCAGAGATATATATCGTGAAGATTAACATAGGCAACAAGAGCCTTCTATTCTTATAATCTGAATCTGGTCTACCACATAATCATGAAAGGAATAACTTCACAAATCAGATGTCTGGTGAGAAATAGGAAGTAACTTCCTATCAAAGTTTCATTGCTGAAACCGGACAAAAGTTTCTAAAGATGCTCGAATTACTTCACCCCCAAAACATCTAAGACACAGAAGTCAGCATAATGTCACATAAATGTAAGTATCACTTCTAGCAGTTTGCAGTATCACAAATAAGATCCAAGTAGCTTGTCCATTGCAAAGAAATAAGCAGGAAATTGTCTTCCTTGGCTCAACTACTAGGAGTGACTATGGATGAACCATTGCTTTCTAAAGCATGCGAACTTTTTATCCAATAAACATGGCAAGCTAACCATATGAAAATAATTCGCGACATTTGGAATTAAATCATCGAAGAACATAGTGATGCATTGAAGTACTACCTTGAGTTCTACTTGAGTACCACGCAGGACATTTCTAGATATTCTAACCACGTGACATTCGGAAAAAAACGACTGAATTAGTGACCAGTGCAATTGATAAGGTGAATTAACAGACCATACTTTGTATTTAGATGAACAATAACTGACAGGTGTCTTAAGTTATCAGAAATGAAGCTATAGGGATTTCCCTGGAAGATGGGTTAATATACATTACTTCGAAAGATATAAAGACAGATGATACTAATCGCGAGTAGCGTAATAAATTTAATCCGAGTTAAGTCTTCTTCGTACCTCCCAGTGGCTTGCCTCTGTCTTTTCCTCTTAGCTTAACTCCCAAGGCTCTCTCCAGTTTCGACAGGATGGCTTGATTTTTCACTGCACGGCCTTGTTCATAATCAGCAATCACCTACAGCGATCAGTAAACAAAAATATGGACGGACTTGTTGTTTTTCATTAATTTTGGTGGCTAAGTCTTTCTGCGTCAGGTTCTTCTCTTGCCGTGCCTGCATTATGATCTTGCCAATGTCTATATCCACCAAATCATTATGAAGATCCTCAGTATCCTCTTCAAGTTTGCTCGGGTTTTTGACTATAGTTTTCTGTTTATTCTGACCAGCAGCCCATCGTTTGTGAGTTTCTATGTGATCACCACGGCGCTGTGCAGCACTGAAAGACTATATGAGAAGTAATTCCGAAAATACAAAAAGATCTTACAGAATTCGATTTAAGCGTCACTGTACGGACCTCCTCCATATGTGAACAGCGTACAACAGCATTTACAAGAATTATAACAACTGCGAAGGTCACAACGTAAATGCGGTAAATATGACATTTAGTTCACTTCTCGCAGATTCTTCAGAATTTAGGCTGCAATTAATTTGTAAGCTTTTAAAGTTTCGGAAGTTACAGCCTCATAGATTCTAAGTGAATGTACTCCGGGTCTCATGAAGACATAACGGCAATTCTTATGCAATGAGCTTTCAGGGTGAAAATCGTGTAGGATACATTCTTCCCAAAAATATGCATATAAGTTGCCAATCGTGATCCTAGTCGGAAAAATTTTCAAGGACTCAGTGTGCACATTGATAGCTGCAATGCTATGGCTTCCAAGATTTAAGCACTGAGCTACCAGGAGAAATATTCAGCGTCCAATATATCTGAGGCAAACACAAACCAAATCCGTTGCTTTTTGACTCTTTTCCCTGTTTGTTCTGAAAGTTTCGCGGGCTTCCTTACTCCAGGAGACCCCATCACTCACATACTTCACCTGTTAGGTTGAAAGTGTCTTGGAATTTATTTTGACCTTACTAACTTCTGACCTCATTCTGAGCGTTCCTTTTTGCCTATTAACAAGCACACGCTTAATTTACCTAGTCCAGTCATTTGTACAATCTAAATGTGTCATTCTTCACAGCATGTTCCCAACTACCAGCGTATATCTGGTTCGGTTTTGTTATTCAGACTTGCTGGTTAAGTAAGGTACTGATTAAGTGGGTAGGTGGGCACACCGTGCTTAGTAAGGATGGGAAGATGTTACACAGCATAAACTCAGCACCTTGAACAGTGTTTTAGCCAAGGATAGAAAACCATTCCAAAGGAGGAAAAAAACGACTGTGGTACATTTTTGTTTTGGGGGATACATGGGTCCAGTTTTCATAGCCTGTGTCCTATGATCCGACACAGACACTTTCATACTAAAACTATAGGTCAGGTAGAGTTACCCGACATCCACCAACAGATGTCTATTTTTTCTCACTTAAAATGTGGATTTTAAAATTATTTTAGCAGCATTCTTTTCGCTATATATGAAGACCATGTGTCAACACTGGTTAATATTCAATTAGTTCCCATCGCCTTGTTAATAGAAATCTGTTTTCCTTTCGTGAAACGAAAAAACCCCTGTGATAGACTCACCACTTGCTGGTTGATAGGATCTTGATACATTAATTTCAAAAGTGTCATTGAGCAGTACAATAAAATTTACTAGTGCACTTTAGTATAGTAGCCACCTGTGAACTATACTATTGAGCTTGCCCGCTATAAATAATAATAATGTATTTCATATAAATTTACAAATTTACATGAAAATGCATGCCATTTTTACAGGCACGATCAAGTATGACATAATATCAAATCGTAGATTGTCTACAAGTTAATCGTATTTCAACTGTTAAATATTCGGTACATATAATACACTCATTTTCTGAATTAGGCCGTATAGTTATTGAATTGTACAGTTGTCCTCCAGGTTGAGCGGGAAAATCGACTTCGTTCCGTTTTCATCCCGTGGTTGTAGGCATACGATAACCAACCAATATTGAGGTAAGTACACCTTTTACAAGGGATTGGAATCTGTTTTAGAAACATTAAAGTGCTGAGGTGAATCATTAAATTGTAATGAAATAGGTAAGTGCAAGTATCATTAATAAATGCATTAATAAAGGAAACACCCTAGGGTAACAACATTCATTTGCAATGTATAATGCTACAGATATATCACAAACTATCATGATATCCACTTTTGGTTTTAATACAATTATCCTCATGCCAGTTGTTTTTATTTTATACCTTTTTGTGCATTTAGTGCACAACCGTACCCTTCAGAGAGTAGGAGTATAATAAGTAATGAAGAGCTATAAGATGTTAAGTTTAATGGAGTAAAATGAGGATCAAGTAAAGACGCTGTCAGAAAATAAATGAGATAAGACATTGTGGGGTGGTATGAAAAGATCTGACGATAGACAGCAAGTTAATTTATAAGATGCCCCATAAATCTGAGCAGATCCCACATGGTCGCATCTCAACAATAGGCTGGGTGAATGGTATATATTTAAAGGTAGAAGCATGATCTGTCAAGGCGTTCATTGTTATCTTTTTCAAGATAAAGATTCAAGCCCTCATAAAAATCAGAAATATCTCGAGCCTTCAAATTTTTTAATGCTGTTCCTGCAGAATGGGGCGATTCACCTTAGTGACCCCCACCATATCTACTGATCAGCTAACTCCACCCTCCCATGTAGGTTCAGCGTAGACTGAGCAAGAAATCCTCGTATTATTTGCCTTACCTTAATATTCATTGTGCCAGAGTCGAAGTTGGTCACAGTATGCAGTACTTTTAGTTCAGCAATTTTATCATCTGGCAGTAGCAACAACTTCTGATTCCGTGACCTAAAAGAATATGAGTCTTTTCCATCTTTTACAATAACACATTAACTCCAGCATTCGAAAGTGGCATAAGACGTCCCCTTGAGATCCTAGGAGAACATTTTATCCCATTCGCCGTAGTCCTTTTAAACTGGCTCCATGATTACCCATAAACTTTCACTTCACACGGTCTAATCCATGTTGCTTTTGGACTGACTCACAACTCATTGTTCCCGATTCGAGCCCCACTCAAAGGCCTGGTGTGATGCCACTGGGTGATCTACTTAGAGACCAATCTCCACTTTAGTTAGCATATGTGCTGAACGTTAAGTCGTTGATTGTGACGTAGTTAGAGTTTCGTGTTGTTTATCATTTCTGGTCGACCACCTGATCTTCAGTTTGGAATCAAGGCGGCTGTTGATGAAAGTCTGAGGCTTGTTGGAAGTGCTTCTGGAGGCGTCTGCATCAAATCTCCAAACCACAGGGACAACATTAGTGTTGAAATTCCAGGCTTCGTTCCTCATGCAAGTCCAGTAGACTTTCAGACTTCAATTTTTTAATACTTCATCTCTGTGATATTTAAAATAAACATATCTGAAATGGAATTACGTTCTACCACACAGCCCAAGTTTTACACTTACATTAAGACTTCTAAACTGGTTTCAGAGTGTTGAATGCTGGTTTCGCTTTTAGATGCTGTATTTGACTTTCTTACCTGTGTCATCCGTAGTTCAAACAATTCTGCCTTGATAAGTAAAAGAAATGTCTTCTTTCCGATTTCTCACCCCCCCTGATAGTCTTTGGCGTTTATTGCTGTTATTGGTCATCGCGTATCTTCATCACCTCTACCTTCCCTGTGTCCTATCTTCGCTGTTTCTTCTGCAAACCTGTTGGTTTTCACCTGTAGATCCTCGAACGTGACATCATAAATAAACTGTCACTGAAGTCTAGATCTTTTGGAGTCTCCTTGCTATTCTAATACATGCCGGTATTCTCGCTTCTCAGGGCCTTTTGTATGATTCATTCCACCAAAATATAGAGGCTATCAGTAATAGTAGGCATCCTTGTCTCATTACAGAGGCTCCACTGAGTTTTCGATTGTAAATTACTTGCTATGCGGCATAATCACACAGCTATTGAACGAGATTCGCAAACGTTTAGGGGACTCCTTAGTGCTGAAGTAGTTCCCGAGTCACTTTGGTTAGGACAGTGTTGAAGGCTCTTGCGAAGGATATAAATTTGACCACAGTTCATCGTCATTATATTCTCCGTACAATAACGATGAGTAGGGTTGCAGTTTGTTCTGCAAGTCACTGGTGTTCACTGGTATTTATTTGCCTGCTGTTAATGGTATTCTCAGATTACTTTCACGTAGTGGTTGGTTAAAGAATCCTTCGAAGTGATCGCCCCACTGTTTGCTCCTTATTTCTCCTCTGTGGTGACTAGGTTACCTTCCCTGTATCTCACTGGTAGTATTTGTGGTGATCTCTCCAAGGATGGTAACATAGTTATGTTTCAGTGTTCTGATGTATCTAACACCTTCAGCCTGTTCTTCTTCAGTCTCCGGCAAGTTTTGGTTGCGTCTTATGTACTTTCTAGCAATCTTCATTTCTCTGCACTGGTCCCTCTCTCCCATAATAACTTTCACGTATCCATGGGGAACCAGTCCTAGTCACGCCTTTTCTTCCTTCATACTGTAATAACAGAAGGCAAGACACGAAAAGCAATGTATATTTTCAACTGATCAAACTGCTATTTATATCTATGCGGTTCATGCGCTTTAATGTATCACTAGGCGTATGATTTTGGCTTACACTAAACGATATCAAATAGAATGTTCAAATAAACATAGTATTCTGTTGCTAACTCAGTACTGAACTGTATGAATACGTGAAAATAATATTCCTCTAGGACCGATTGTTTGTATCACACCAGCAAACTCGCCACTCGTCAAATAGTTTAAACTGTAGCCGGTTCGATTTCCTTGGTGCTGGCGGCTTTGTTCGCCTGTATCGCTGCACTCAGTTACAGAGCTCGCAGACGTTCACCAGCTTCTCCTTGTTTGCACTTGTGATGGTATATACGGGACCCCATTTCGCGGTGACGGTGTATAGTCCTTCCCACTTTGGAAAGGGGTGTGTGACCCTGACGCGTATTCGCAGGTGTTTTGCCTCACACTGCCATATGCCACATTCGCCAAAACTCTTGAAGCGAGAGCTGTCTGCTAGCCAAAGTTGTCGACACCGATTTACGTCAGTGTTTACGTCCCGAATCGGGGTCACGAGAGAGAACAAGAACAAAGACTAACCTTGAAGAACTCGACAACTAATCACAGCAGACTTGGCGTGGACGCGTACGATTCGCAGATATATCACCGGACTGTGTAATAAACGGCAACAAAGAGATGACAGAATAACGTTCAGCGAGGAAACAACCAATCAGAAGACGTTGCTTCTCTGCTAACAATAACGAATAATAATGTGCATAAAAATCTATAAGTTTCTGTTGGTTTTCTCAATAAACGATTTGTTGCCTGCCCCTTGTAATCTGTTGTTACATTCTCAGTAGCGTTCCAAGTAACAGCCTCTTCTCTGACTGATGTAGAACGCTATTCAACTTCGCAACAACCTCGAATTCCTGCAGGACAAAGGCTTTCCATTTGTTGGAAGGCAGAAACATCAAATGCAATAGCAGAAGACCTGGCACAGTAGCCAATGTGTATCTTTAACTGATCAAACTGCTGTTTACATATATACAGTTTATACTCTTTAACCAAC